TATGATGTTAAAGACCGTATTTTTGTTAGTATACTCTGAAAATTTTGTATAAATAAAACGAACAGTAACGAAAATACAAAAGTTGTCAAAAATGACCACTTTTCAGGAAAATAACCAAAGAGGGGTTATTTTTACCGACTTTGAAGCGCGGTATCTTCGTTACTGTTCGTTTGATTTGTACAAAATTGTCAGGGTATACTAGCAAAAATACGGTCTTTAACAGCATATTGTTTATTTACTTTAAAAAAATCACTAAAAGTTTTATTTATTATCTTTTTTAATATCATGTGTATTTTAAATTATTTACCTAATAAATCTTAATTTAACATTTGCAGGTTTAGTTGTCGTGCTATAAACCAAAAGTATTACACATAAAAGTTTAAATTAAAGTCCCGGGCTCAATGAAACTTTTATGGAAACTGATATATCCAAAATTGGAACAAGTAATAAAATAGGTTTTTCGTTATATTTTAAACAAGTTCGTTAGCTAAAAGAGTATAAAAGTGTTTTTATATGATTGGAGGTAAAATACTTTCCTTAAACTGTTAACTTTAAAGAGTAAACCTTCTTTTATGCTTTTAATGTATTTAAGAAGCTTACCTCTGTTTCTATAACAAACAGAGCTTTATATGCAAATAAAAACTAAACAACTTTTTAAGAATGGTGTTCAGCAAACATGGATATTCTGTTTTTAACAGTCGTGTAATTCTACTTAAACCTTTAAATAGAAAATAAATCATTTTAAATGAAATATTAGAAAAAGTAAAAGTAAATGGTATTAGGTTTTTTTTTGGTATAATAATTAGTTTCGTAAAATTTAGGGGTTTTAGTTCTAAAAATAGTTTAGTTGTATCGACCAATACTATTTTTAACTCCTACACAAAGTAAAGCACAGTAATCATTATTAATTTTAAATAAAATAAAATCGACTACCTCCATTTTTTGCAAGAGATTTAGGGTAAACCACATAGTTATTGGACACTTTGGGAATATTATTTATTTCAAATTTATATATGCTGTTGTTTTAAAGATTTTAGTTTTTTTCTTATAAATATATAAAAAGGATAATTTGTTTGTTTAAACTTTATTTACGTTAACTTAAAAATGAGAATATTTGAATTTTTTATATTAGTTTTATAGAAACATGCAAAAAAGTATAATAATTGGACATTTTGTATAGTAATTGGACACATGGACCATAGTTATTGGACATACAATTTTTATACAAACATAAGAACTTTATATCAAATAACATAAATTGTTAAATATTTTTTTAAAGATAAATTGCTGTTTTAGGTAATTTTTTTTATTTCGTTTTTGTAAATATCATATAATTTATATATTTCTTTCTCGTATTCCTCATCCCTTTCCTGGATTCTTAAGGTAACTAATAATTCCTTGGTCACATTAAATGTGGTATCTCTAGTTTCTGAAGCATTTATAATGTTTAAGATGATTTATATATATATATATATATATCTAATATTGTTTTGGGTAGTATGTAAAAAGTTCTGAATTTATTAATTTTGTTGCCATTAGTTTATTGTTATTTTGCAAGATGTTCTGTGACGAAGAAATCACTATATTACTTACTCTCTAAAAATGTCATAGCGAAAAAGCATCCACTAATAATTCTCGTCAACAGCAATTTGTATCCAGGACATTTAGCAATCAATTCCTATGAAATATTATTCGCTGAATCCGAAAATCTCATCAAAAGTTATAAAAGTAGAACAGTTTTTGAAATATAATCAATTTTACATATAATATGGAATTGACTATATAGTTTTTGACGGTCTTTTCGGACAATTTTACATAAGAATTGGCTGGTAAATGTCTGGGATACAAATAGAGTATGATATTGGACATATGTCTAATAATAGAAATTTAGATTTTTTACCAACCAGTAATTGGACACTGGCCATTTTACTGTTTGTTTTCAGAATTAAAATTAAAACGCATTAAAGTGACAATGTTTAAACCATGAGGAGCACACAAATATTTTTTATTGTAATTTAAAAACATCCCTGCTCTTAACAAAAAAACAAAAATCTTACCACCAAAGTAACGTGCGAACTTTTTGTCCTATATTGGGCACAAAATAAAGTAGTTCTATATTATTACCGACTGAGATATTTATAATTGTATACAGCATCATCTAATGACTTGACATTAAGATAACTATTTATAGAACTCTTGTTTTTACAGTATTAATATTAATTGTCCAATAACTATAAAGTGTCCGATAACTGTCTACTTTACCCTCAATGTAAGTATACATAACACGCAACATGTGGTAATGGTATGAAATTAAACTTAAGGTGCCATTTTGACGAATTCCTATTAAAACTAAAATGCATAAAATGATAAAAACTCGTAGAAAATCGTAAAAACCCGTCGTAGAGTGTAAAGTTTGAGTGTATTTCAGAAGTGATTTAGCTAAAACTTGATCTGTATGTAAATCTAATTTCATCGGAAAATGGGTCGGCATTCTGAAGACAATGTCTTCCGACGCGACGTGGATTTATATGGTTCGCAGAAATTCCAAACAGATCTTGCTCCCGTAAATAAAGTTTGTAATTAATGTTTCTACCGGCACTGTACAATGGATCCTCGCGCGTATACTAATGCCTCTCTGCGCCCAACAATATGCCTCGTTGTCGTTGTTGTTTTTCTTATTTTACATGCATTATTAATGATTATTGCGCTCTACGTTGTTAGTTTAAGTCGATAGTAGTTTAGTTAATAGCCCTAAAACTATTTTTGGTTGTAATTTCCTCATAAATTTCACGAATGCAATACGAAATTCTAGAAAAAGAAAATGCTTTATTTTGAGGGATGTAATTTTTTATACAATTAAACTGGAGTAAAAATTTTTTTTATTTTTTTTTCTATAATTATACAGCACTGGAGTACTAAATTTGTAGTTTTATGTAGTCAGAAAATAGTAATGCAAGTCATGGTTTAGGACATTTTTACACAGCTTTAGTTTATTTTGGAAAATTTTAATACAGTTTAGGTCATTTTAGATAATTTTAGGACATTTTCTTGATAGTTAGACGCATTTAACAATTCTTTTCAAGATGGTTTAGTACTTTTTATTAACAAAATTTAGCAGGTTTTAGGACCTTCTTATACAATTTAGGTAATCTAAATTGGTTTTAAGGACATTGTTAGTTTAAGTCGATAGTAGTTTAGTTAATAGCCCTATAAATATTTTTTTGTTGTAATTTCCTCATAAATTTCACGAATCCAATACGAAATTTTAGAAGAAGAAAATGCTTTATTTTGTGGGATGGAATTTTTTATACAATTGAACTAGAGTAAAAAAAATTGTATTTTTTATATAATTATTCTGCACTACATTTGTAGTTTTATGTACTCAGAAAATAGTAATGCAAGTCATGGTTTAGGACATTTTTAGACAGCTTTAGGTCATTTTGGACAATTTTAATACAGTTTAGGTCATTTTGGATAATTTTAGGACATTTTTTTGATAGTTATTTTAGACGCATTTAACAATTCTTTTTAAGATGGTTTAGTACTTTTTATTAACAAAATTTAGAAGGTCTTAGGACCTTCTTATACAATTTAGGTCATCTAAAATTGTTTTAAGGACATTTTTAGAACATTTTTGGCCATTTTATTCAAACAAAATAGAGTTTGTGATTATTTATAGTAGAACAATATTGTTTAGTCACATTGCATTAAGTTAATTTGACAATTTATTTTTTAAGTATATTTGAGGTAGAAAGAAATTAAAAAATTTGTGCCACATCGTATTAAGTTAATTTGACAATATAGACATTTTTTTCCAAAATAGAGAATTTTTAAAAGGAAAAACTCCTTGCGTAGGAGCCAGATATTCTGGCCACTACAGTCTTTCCAATAAAAACGAGACATTTTAAGGTGGCCAGCGCGGTCCTTGACTTTTGCTGAGATTCTCTCCAGAGCCGCATTGAGGTATTTTGGTTGCTTACTTGATTTCGCTGCGTTTATTTGGATTTTTTCTTGTTATTATTAGGTTTCGGATTTTTATAGAGTTAAACGTTTTTTAATAAAAACGCATATTTGAGTTTCTTTTTGCAATACATTAATGCATATTTTTAAGTTTTCATTATGATAACCACAACTTGTGTTTATGGGTAAAAATACGAATCATAATAGGTAAAGGTGTATAAATTTAATCTACCAAACATTTTTATAGTACCGAATTATAATTATAATGCAAACATTATTGTAATTTAGTTAGTAAAAATATTTTATTATTAAATCGATTTTGTTGATATTGATTTTGTTCTTACTGTTGTTTTAGAGTTCGGCTAAGAAACGGAAAAATAAAACATTTAATTAAGGAGATGAAAGAAGTGTCCTTAAATGTTTATAAAACAGAAAACGAGGAGAACTAGGCGATGAGTATCAATTATCTTGCTTTAAAAGTCGAGAGCAAAGTTAAAGTTTTTCAGTCTTTGAAGTAATAAGGGAGTACAAAATAAATGGTAGTTTCTTTAAGCAAAATCCAATGAAATACACAAAACGAATTATATTTATAGTCATTGGATGATGCTTATCAGCATTCGATTAGAAGAAAATTGCATACATTTTTTTTCCAAAATAAAATACCAAAGTCCATAAAGTATTAAAGTATTAAAGGAAGTAAATGAAGATTACATGTTGTCATACATATTTTAAATAAACTACATTATATAAAGTTTTGAAGCATTTGCATTTTAAATAGCAAAATCGAGGGCGGAATAACTTATTGATAGATAGAGAAGAAATTTTGCTATAAATATGAGAGTGTCTGACTAAAATAAAATTGTGCAGAACTAAAAATAGTAAGTTTATTACCTTGACGAAACCTCGGACGAAACGGGTTAATTCGCGCGCGGAATTGTGCTTAAGCCCGCCTGGGCTATTTAAAAAATCTTAGTTTTGTTAATTATAAAAACACTCGGGAAATCCTTGGCAACAATGACGTAAATAAAAAATGGACTTACCTTATGACGATAGCAGTCAACAGTTTGGCCCTCTGCCTATCAATAAACACCGGTATATGCATCCTGGACATCGGAAATAGAGGTGGGTGCGGCACCAACATCGTGATGGCATCGGTTAATTTCAACTCTTTGTAAGCACCTTTAGCCGGCACCAAAATCACGTTACCCAGGGTAACCGAGGGTTGCACCTGCATTTTAGGGTGGCAACCTTCTCCCTCATCCGGCCAAGGTTCCAGAACGGAGTAGGCGACTTGGACTATCTTTTGGGGGGATTTCGGGACTTTTCCGGGGCGGCCGTCCTTTTCAGGGGATGGTAGTGGGGGCCACCAGTCACTCGGGATTGTCACCTATAAGAAAAGAGAACATTTTTAAACTCTATAGGGCCTTTCCATTTCAAATCGAACAAGCAAAAATGGACAAAAACATCGATTCTTCTCTGAATGATGATTTTTTCTTAAAATGGCGATAACTTGGCCAAAAATGTTTCCATCGTTAAAATTTTAAATTGTAGGTAAATGTTTACTACATAAAAAAATATAAAAATTTAGTGAATTCAATCAATATTTTTTTAAATTGTTTATTTCTAAAAGAGGCAAAAGAATATTGGGGTCAAAATTTTGACATTGCCACATTTTTTTTTACTTCAAATTATTTTCAATTATGGTCAATAAAAAGTACAATTGTATTTAAGAACGAGATAACTAAGTAGGTACACTTTATTGATAAGTAGGTAACAAATAACTTTTAGAGATAAATACAAATAACATCTGTGACGACTATATTTCGCTGAGGGTGGTTTCGGACTGACTCTGCCTCGTAGTATATTTTAAAGTCAAGGGTGCGAATGCCATACAATTTTCACTCGCTTCCCATGTGGTTTATTTCCTATTTTATAAACGTTGACTATTGTTGTTGCACAATATTCCAACAAATATGAACAACTTAACTTTCGTTAATAATATGAACAACTTTCACCAAAAATTCCCGAGCTAAATCCGTCGTTTCGAAATTATTTTTTTTAATGAAAATACCATTTTCTAGTAAATTCGTGGTTCATCGTCAAAATTTGGTATTTTATCTAGGGTCATAAAACTGGGGTGACCTTTATAAAGTGTAATTTGGAACTTTTTGACATATTTAACATACAGGGTGTTATGTAATTAATGTTATATATTAAAATGGGTTGTTCCTTAGGGTCCATAAAGAAGCACCTGAAACTTTTTTTTTCTAAATTCCAAAGTCTAAAAATAATGTATAATAACCTTTATCCTACCAAAAAGTACGCCACTGATCGACTAGGAACTTTAGGCTAATCTGGTGGATTTATTATGTTATGGTTGGTAACAACAGTGTTTCCAAAATCTCTCAAAAAAGTTGACAAACATTGTTTAAATTTGACTTAATTACAAAAATGACAAAATTAACAATGCAAATTGTCAATTTGGCGTTTTTATTAATTGTTGGTTATGTTATTTTTGTACTGAAGGTAAACTCAAACAAAATCTGCCAACTTTTATGACAATCTAGTGCATTTCTTTCAAATTTTAGGTTATGTTTTCAAATTGTAAATATCTTAACTAAGGGAAGTGCTTTTGGATTTATTTACACAAATTAAATGTTTAATGTTTAACCTGTAAACTGGTCCCAATTTCATCTGAGTAAACAGAAAGAAAAAAACTGATGAAAAAATTAATTTTGTGGTTATGGATTTTTTAAAATAGGTACTAAATTTTCTAATCATTGCTAAAGCTAATAGCTGGATGAGTAAATAAATACAGAAGGCTATTAGAGTTTTTATTTATTTTTTGCAAAAAAAATGTTTAGTAACAATTTTTTACACCTGGCAACGCGTAGCTACTTTGTTGGTTGGTATCTATGTACTCACAGAATACAAGTGTGCAGAGATAAATCAAGTGTGTAACCAGTGGCGTATCACAAAAAATATAAAAAACTTCTAATGCATATTTTTTCTTTATCTTTGGAAAAATATTTTTTTAAATATTTTTCCTTTATTCCTTATGTCAAAAGGTATTTAGTATTTTAATATATAACATTAATTACATAACACCCTGTATTTTTATCACTTCCGGTTTCACCGGAATACATATATCATTTGTCAATTTTGGACAGGTCAAATAATTTTTTGATTAAAATTTATTTCTATATCCAGAGTGCCTTGAATTAGCTTTTCTGCTTCATGTTGGGCTAAGTAGTATTGAAAAAAAAATAGTATTTTAGACTTTTTTGCAATGCTGGTTTTTTAGAAGATTTCAAAAATTGAAAAACCATACTTTATGCTAAAACTATTTTTTTTAAAGAGGGTGGTTCGTTGGTCATAAAGAAATCCACTTTGTTTAAATTTGATACCAAATATTAATGCATTTTTTTAAAATATCGCTTTCAAACTCTTAATTAAATTTGAAAGTTTGTAAACAAATTAAGAAGGCTTTAAAACCTTTGTGTTTAAAAAAGTATTAGATTTTACAGTTCGTTAGTTTTGCTGGTAAGTGAATATTAACATTTTATTCAACTATAAAAACATACGCTAAAACTTTTTATAAAATAAAATAAAAATTGAGGTGGTTAAAATCAAATGGGTGTAAGCAATTGCTCTACATTTTTTGGTTTTAAAACTACTAAATAGAATCATTCAAATATTATAAAAAATCTAACCGCCCCATAGTGTGGCCATTATAGAAAATCTTTTGAAAATAAATAAAAAACGAAATTTGTTATTTTTAAACAAATTTTCTGGAATTGTTTGTATTCTAAATTTCTTCGAAATCGTGTTTTTATAAGTTTATTTACTTTACTTTTAAGTATGTAATACTTACTTTTTATTATTTTAACCAAAATTAACTTATTTAACACCTTTTGAAAGCAACACATGCAAAAATATTAAGAATTTACATTTTACTCTAAAATCTTTAATAATTTAATTTACTTATTTAAGAGCATTTCCGGTGAAATCGGAAGTGACAAAAATATGTTAAATATGTCAAAAAAATCTAAATTACACTTTATAAAGGTCACCCCAGTTTCATGACCCTAGATAAAATACCAAATTTTTTGCGATGAACCACGAATTTACTAGAAAATGGCATTTTCATTAAAAAAATAATAATTCCGAAACGACGAATTTTTTGCCTCTTTTAGAAAAAAACAATTTAAAAAGATTTTTTATATTTTTTTGTATGTAGTAAACATTTACCTCCAATTTAAAAAAAAAATTAAAGATCGAAACATTTTTGGCCAAGCTATCGCATTTTCAAGAAAAAGTGTCACTTGTAAAAAAATCGATGTTTTTGTCTTATTTTATTATTATATTAGGTATTTTGAACAACATGTATATTTTTTATATGATTTGATTCATTCACCTGTGCAAGACAGACTCCATCCTCCCCATCAGGGCTGCACGCGGCATGCAAAGACCTAGTGGTGCCCATGGTGGCATGCAAAACAATGCAAACTCTTTGGTGGTGCCTAGCCAACAGCATCTGTCTACGACCACCGGGGTCAGTTCCTGTATGAAAAAGAACCCTGAGGACTGGGGAATCCCTCGGTACTTCATCTCTAACTATATGAGCCGACATGTCCAGATGATGAGTGGCTTGGTCCTGTAGATCGATGGCTGGTCCTTTAGAAAAAAGAGTCAGACCCAGATTTAAATATACACGGAGAGAAAAGTATAATGCTGATTACCATAATTATAATACCCTTTACTATAATTTATATTACTATTTGGGACAACTATCTTGTATATTGCCAGATACTATGCATATTTAGTAAGTTTTAAATATCCATGTATGTTAAACCTTAAGGTGAAATATTATTATTCTCAATCAATTTTTTTTTATTCTTAATATAATTAGATTTTTTCCATTACTAATAAGTATAGTAAATTTTAAAATATTATGTGGCCATTTTAAATATAAAATATTTTAATATCGAATATTTTTATATGTTAACAATTAAAAATTGTAACATATTTATTGTACTTTTTAATATACAAAAATGTTACGAGAAAAAATTGAACCTACACCTCGCCAAAGTTTTTTGTTTTGAGTGCGTTCCATCAACTTCAAATACCGACAGAGAGGTGTTTTGACCTATATTGGGTATCATCAGTGTCGACACGACACTGTCGAGCAACTTGTAGTAGTGGAACACACCCAAAACAAAGAAATAGCTGAGCTTAGCCAACAGAGGCGAGATGTAAGAACATCACGTGATCCAAACCGACTAACGACGCGTCGCGACGTGGCCTTTGCCGCAATCGGTACATACTATGCAACTAAGTAGGTTCAATTCTTTCTTATAAGTATTACCAGTAATGGGTCAAGAAAGTTTATTGAAGAAACTAAGAAAAATTAATGTTTAAAATGTCATGAGTTACTATATTGTATATTATATTTAAATATATTGTTTATTTCCCTTAAACATAAAAGTATCTTTATTTTTACTATATTTTTTATTAATGTGTAATATATTATAATATTAGATGTACATTGTACACCTTACATTTGATTAAATCATATAGTAAATATTACTATTTGTAGATAGTAAAATCAATTGACTATACGAAAATATTAAAAATTAAAATATATATTATACATTTATGATTTAGTTATATTGCTGTTGTAATCTTTACTAAAATTGTATAATAAAAAATAGTATTTTGTTTTACAATCTTAATATTGTATTGACGAATATATAATATTGTTACCCTAAAAATTTGTTAAAGTAAATTTTACTATTTTTTTTTACTATCTAAAATTTTCTATACAGGGTGTTATGTAATTAATGTTATATATTAAAATACTGAATACCTTTTGACATAAGGAATAAAGGAAAAATATTTAAAAAAACATTTTTCCAAAAATAGAGAAAAAATATGCATTAGAAGTTTTTTATATTTTTTGTGATACGCCACTGGTTACACACTTTGTTTATCTCTGCACACCTGTATTTTGTGAGTACATAGATACCAACCAACAAAGTAGCTATGCGTTGCCAGATGTAAAAAATTGTTACTAAAAATTTTTCTTGCAAAAAATAAATAAAAACTCAATAAATACAAAAGTTTTATGCCCTTAAAGCTCTAATACCCTTCTGTATTTATTTACTGATCCAGCTATTAGCTTAAGCAATGATTAGAAAATTTAGTACCTTTGAAATTTGAAATCCATAAGCACAAAATTAATTTTTTCATCAGTTTTTTTCTCTGTTTACTCAGATGAAATTGGGACCAGTTCACAGGTTAAACTTTAAACATTTAATTTGTGTAAATAAATCCAAAAGCACTAAGATATTTACAATTTGAAAACATAACCTAAAATTTAAAAGGAATGCACTAGATTCTGTCATAAAAGTTGGCAGATTTTGTTTGAATTTACCTTCAGTACAAAAATGAAATAACCAACAATTAATAAAAACGCCAAATTGACAATTTGGATTGTTAATTTTGTCATTTTTGTAATTAAGCTAAATTTAAACAATGTTTGTCAACTTTTTTAAGAGATTTTGGAAACACTGGTTACCAACCATAACATAATAAATCCACCAGATTAACCTAAAGTTCCTAGTCGATCAGTGGCGTACTTTTTGGTAGGATAAAGGTTATTATAAATTATTTTTAGACTTTGGAATTTAGAAAAAAAAGTTTCAGGTGCTTCTTTATGGACCCTAAGGAACAACCCATTTTAATATATAACATTAATTACATAACACCCTGTATTTATATTTTGAAAAAAAAATTTAACAGTTTAGTTAATAACTAACAATAATTGTAATGTTGTTACTAAAAAATCTCATAATAGAAAAAGAATAAAGTGCATGATGCAGCAAAACATTCTTTAGATTGTTTACTATTTTAGCTATTATTTAAAAGAAAATTAAAAATCCTTTTGTTTGATATATAACACGGTATATTTTTGTCTAAAATTAACGAAATATGGCTAAAAATTAAAATTTTGTAGAAGTCTAGAAGTTACTACATGGATTTTGTTTTATGGTATATTTTTTTGTTTTATAAGAAAAATGTAGGTTGTTGTATATTGTTTAAATTACTTTTTAAAAAAGAATTTTTTTTAGTATAATTAAACGCAGTCAAGTTGGCCTACTTATATTTAATTTTTAGGAGTTTTAGGAGATTGATGGCAATTTTAGGAGTTTTTAAGATTTAAGCCAAATTTTAGGAATTTTATGAATTTTAGGATGTGTGGGAGCCCTGAATATTGTTACCCTAAAAATTTGTTAAAGTAAATTTAACTATATTTTTTTACTATATAAAATTTACTATACATTTCTCTCCGTGTAATATTTTTATTCTCTTACCCGACGTATTAAGAGGAAGAGGATCAGGCACCACGTATCTGGCCGGCACAGTTTGCTTGGTGCTAAAGGGGCCATAGGTGGCTCGAACCGAAATCGGTTGAGCGCTTTGGAAAACAGTAAACCGATCAGTCGACAGCGGCAGCCCGGAGTTTGTCGCGCCGGATAAATCCGGCGTGGCCGGGAAAAAACGGACGAGGCGTCTGTTTCAGGAAGAAACCGCCGTCTTTGTTCTCGAAATGTACGTTGACACATCCTGAATAACCTGAAATCAAGGAAATAAAGACTTAGCACACAGTTTTTCCCAACGAAAAACTACTTTTAAAATAAGGATTTAATAGATTTAGATAAATACAAAACAACCTTAAAATTAATAATTGCTTAATTAAATTTTCAAAGTAAGTTAGTAGATTTGTTACCTAATGGAAAATGAAAATTTACTTATCAAATTTAGTTAGTTCAGTTTAGATTTGATTTGCAAAGTTATTTATCAGATAAATGCAAATGTAAGCTGTGCAGGTACCCTGTTTTAAATTGTTTAGCAGACTGCTTTACATTAGGTGCATTAGCGGACAATTTTGGGACACATAACTTCAAATAATGGTTGAATGTAGTCTGCACAGTGCTGCGTGGCTTAAATAATCAAAGTCATATACTAAATGTCATCAAGCTACAATTTAAATTAGCAATTTCCGTGTTCATTTTTAGTTAGTTAACGAGTTAATGTTTTCCATTATTCTTGTATTAAATTAGTTTTTTAGATCCTTCGGCTCATGAGTGCGAGTGTCTTAATAGCTTTTGCGACCTGTTTAAATTTCTGGCGGGGTTAATATTTTTTTAATTTTACAATTACTATCGCACATGTTGACTAATTTTAAATTCAAAGTGTTTTTATGTAAACAGTAACTTGTCAAAATTAATAAATATTTGATCTGTCAGATGTCCAAGTCAATAGTTGATATTGACAGAATATTGCCGTGTATCGCATTTATATTGGTTAAAAATCTGTATCGTAATGTAAAATTTGTATCACAATGGATCTCATTATCGTACATGTAGAAAACGAATTAAAGTTTGGAAGTAGAAAATAGTATATTATATATCAAGTTTGATAAACGCCATTTTATACACGAATTTAATTTAGGCACGAGCGAGCTTGCGAGCGAGTGCTTAAGTTAATGAGTGTATAGAAAAGTTTATAAACGAGGTGCATACTATACTTTTTCTACGACAAATACTTATTATTATCTTAAAATGATTTAAATAAAAAAATTGTATAGAGCGCCATCTATGAAACAACAGGGGAAACTGTCAAATGTCACATTTTTACATTTTATAAACACAATTATAAAGGTTAAAAATGGAAATGTATCTTGAAAATTGACAGTTTTTCACAGTGAAAGTAAAGACAATGTTTTATGAGGACTTTACAGTAGAGTCCGTGCCCGAATTTAAGTTATAGTTTACTGCCGGCGAAATTAAAAGGTCAGTACAATGTTCATATAAACTTTTCAAATATTGGCGTTGAGAAACTATTTAATATTTTTGTATTGAGATAATAAAATAATTTTCACATTTAGTATTATTTTACAAGAAAGGCACTTTATTTATTAACGATTGTATGTCATTTGACAACTGTCAACTAACTTAAAACTAACTTCAGCCCGTAACTAAAGCGCCGTAAAGCCACAACTTGTCAATGTGTATTTAAAAGGTCACTTAGTGTCATGGAAACATGTACGATAAAGGGCGTTTTAAAGGTGGGACTAGAAAAAATGTTTTATGCTCAGCAAAAAAAGACTGACTTCTCAGCCTTATGACATAAATAACAATTATCTTCAAGCGGTCAGCACTCGACACTGGAACTATAGTCAGATTTTATATTTAAAACATGTTCCCTATGCATAAAACGTAAAATTATTAAAAGTATATATACTTTTAATAATTTTACGTTTTATGCATAGGGAACATGTTTTAAATATAAAATCTGAGAAATACCATTTCTGTCAATGGTTTTTCGGTTAAAATAAGCAATTAATTAAAAAAAAAAACAGATAAACCTTTTGATAGTTTATGCCATAATAATAAAGTAATAAAAATAAAATTTAATTTAAAAAGTACTTGCTTAAATATTAAATTTATTAAGGGTAAATATTAATATTTTTAAAAATTTTTATTTCACTTATTCCTGTTAATTTTTTATAGTTTTAATGTTTGTTATACATGTCTATATAATATATTTTTTATTTAACTAATATTTACCAAATTCAAAAAAATATATTATTTTTAATATGTTACGAAAACCTGTTTTTTCTAATGTAAAAATATTTAAAATTAAAAGCAAAAAAATAAAATGTATTTTAATGTATAATAACATGTGCTTTGTAATGCATATTTGCATTACAAATTATTATATATAGAACTGTTTACTTCCCCACTGTGCATAAATATTTTGGAAGCAGCATCGGCATTTCCTGCAAGATATACCCGACTTTCATTGTAATTTACAGGTCGATAATAAAGCAATAATTTGGTCGTTCACTTAGATAAATTATTATAGTTTGGAAAATGGATTCTGCATCGAATTTACAGCCTGCTATAGCTCCGGAATAATTTAGCAAGTTTCGTGGTCCCAAACTAAACGTCGATTTAGCTGGCTTTGAGCAATGTCCGTAATACCCCATAATTGCTTTAACATGTCAATTATCATAAAGCACAAACTGTACCTTTTAGGCTTGTGAACAAATATAAAATCAGGTAGTTTTAGTCGCTTTCGCTTCTATTAAAAAAATCATTTTTAATTAGGAAAAAAACGAAAAATACTAATTTTTTTAAATCTAAATAGATAAAACGTATTTTTTAAAAGCTGCCTCCTATATATATATATATATATATATATATATATTAGAGTGTGCCAAAAAAACTCGATATTTTTTTTTCTTGCTCTCCACCCAAAATATCGTAGAATATGTCCAAAGAAATATTCTGTTAAAAGCGGAATTTCTATTTTCATTATTTGATTTTTTACAGAGCTTTAAATTTCTAATTTTACGTTTTTTGCCTTTTTCAGGTAAACTAACTATTAAGTTAGACCAAAAAGTCAAATGGCAATTTTTTAGCTTGTCTGATGGACCACATAAAAGTTTTAGGCGAATTTTTTGTATCGTCAATATTCTAAAAGTTACAGGCGTATAAAGTCATCATTTTTGTATTATTAACTTTAAATTTAAAGCTCTGGAAAAAATCAAATAATGAAAATAGAAATTCGGCTTAATAAGATTTTTTCGTCCAAATTTAATGCTTTGTAAGAATTAGTCATGGATTTTATGAAAAAAAAAATTCTTCCTAGGTTGCAAGAATAAATAAGGTAAAAAAGTCAGTTTTCTGTGTTATTTAAGCGGCAAAACTTCAGATTCGATGAGGGACCTCTTAAAATTGAAATTATGAGCTCCGCTTTTAACAGGATATTTGTTCGGACATATTCTACGATATTTTGGGTGGAGAGCAAGAAAAAAAAATATCGAGTTTTTTTGGCACACCCTAATATATATATATATATATATATATATATATATATATATATATATAAATGGTAAAAAACTTCTTTTTGTTTAAACCTGTTTATTATTAACGTACATCTATTTTTTAGTATTTTTTTAAAATGTAAGTGATTCTCCATTAATTTATCAACAATATTCTTTAATATTTCTTTAAATCCGACATCAAATAAAAAAGTTGTTTATCAAACTTTATTAGAATTTTTTTCGTTATATGGACGATATTTTCATGGTAACTAAAGAAAAAAAATTAAAAGTTTTTTAGACCCACCCTAATATAGATATATAAATATATTACAAAAAGGCAATATGGTTGTTTAATAAGCAACAAACCATCCTGATAAAAATGTAATCCATCGGAAAACATTTTTCTTTTTTATGCTAGCGCGAAAATAAAAATTTAATTCCTAATAATCTCTGCACACACAATAAATTCGGGGGTCAAAAATATAAATCAGCGTAATTTTCCAATGCTCGATAAAACCCGGCATTACGAAGTTTTACAATTTTTGCAAAATACGACAATCTTTATTAAGGCCTGGATATTTTACGATTATAGGATTAAAGTGCACTGAGTTTTGACCCACATTGCTAATTGAGCCTTGGAGAACATAAAAAGTTGTGGGTAGAAACATTCGACCCGCAAATGAAATATTTAAATACATTTATTTAGAGTCAGAAAGATCTAAACGAATAGATAAACACGCAACTGAATGCCGAGTTGAAACCTATTTTATTAATTAATGCAATTGTAACGAAAATGTTCATGCCGATGAGTTATACGCAAAATATGTATTTGGCCGGCTCTAATTAATTATCCCACCACATTTCTGTTTTTGTATAAAGAGATAGCGGTCGAATGTAATCAAATTTAATTGAAGTTATTTTTACATTCTGTTACACGTGATTTTGGTAATTTTGCTTTGAAATGTTAATTAATGTATTTAAAGTATTGTAAATATTTAAAAAAATGTGAAAAAGTGAATATTGGAAGAAAATATTGCAAGAAATTTAAGTCAGATATGCCATGGAAAACTAATGTTGATTTTATACCAAAAATCTGTCAAAATTAAGAAAAGATCAACCCTTAATTTGTCAAGACTTAAAATCATTTTTAAGTCTTGTTGATGTCAAAAGGTAATTAATAAAAAAAATTGTCAGCCTCAATAAAATATTAAGCCTTAATCAATTGATATCGTATTGAACTCTTGTTAAATGATGTGATTTCATTTGTGCGAGTGAAATGTGGTAAAATCTAGCATAATAAAAATATCAAAAAGATCACTAAGAAAATTAAAGTTTCGACGTTTTCTAAAAGAAATATTTAAGATCTATTCTATAAACGAAGCAGACTTGTTGTTTAAAAAGTGAGTTCATATTTTTTTTATTTTGTACATCATATAATATTAATTGTTATAATAAATAATTTGTTTTAATGCCTTGCAATTATTAAAAAAAAACTACCCCGGTTGAAAATGTAACAATGTTACATTGTTACAATGAAAATAGTTTATTGAATTAACAATTAATTTGTTTTTAAATTTACATAAATTTTATTAATATTATAGAAGAAGTTTTATTTTAAACGAAAAGGGATTTGTAAAATTTACAAAATTTCTATGAATAATAAACGGTATAGAACTGTTTTTTGGACAAATAATAACTGACTATCTAACTAAATAACTATCAATGTGTTTCTGCACCTGGAAATTGTATAAACATAACGT